GTGTGTATATATATACATATACATATATATGTATATATATATAGTAACGGCGCTAGCACCTTGTGTATTCAGAATGCTAGGGGACTGTGATCGTGGCTGTGCACAAGGTGTATGAATGTGTATACAGTTGGAGTCGAGAAGGCAAACTGTGGCGGGGGATGTGAAAGAGACGTTCCTCTTCACACACACACACAGGAACGTATGTGCACAGGCACACTCACAAATTACATACTACACCAGCGTATTCGATCACACACATAAGTCCACGGACTACGGACACACACACTAAACACTTGTCACCACTCTCACTTACATACGTATGACTCATTTACATATGCTGTGTGTGTGCGCGTGTGTGTACACTCTCTCACTTACATATACAGTGCGTGGGTGCGTGTGTGTACACTATCTCACTTACATATGCTGTGGGTGTGTGGGTGTGTGGGACTCTCTCTCACTTACATATGCTGTGGGTGTGCGCGTGTGTGTACACTCTCTCACTTACATATGCTGTGGGTGTGTGCGTGGGTGTACACTCTCTCACTTACATCTGCTGTGCCTGTGACATTTCAGCCACAGCCGCCGACATCACACTGCCGCTGCTGTCGCGGGAGGCTATACCCATCCCGGTATTCGTCCCGCTATTGGCCACCCCTAGACGGTCTGTAGAGGCATGACTCATCGGCGACATGCCTATAGAGAAGTCCGGGTCACTGCCGAATGGGTTGGGCTGTACTCCGGGTTTTGGCGGGCCGGCTTTGGTGAGGTGGTGGGGTGTAAGTGCTGTTCTATAAATAGCACACAGCCTGAGCACCAATCAGCAGAAGAATGGGGCGCATATGTAGATGTATATGTACTGGCGATGGACGGGTGTCCCAGATATATCAGACGGGTCTAAATAAACGTAACGTAAACAAATAAACGTATCCTGACATGCTCGGGCCTTGAGCATAGATAACATCCCTAGTGCAGAATCACAGTTAAACGTACCATGCACCGCAACAGTTCAGTGTACTAGGGATGAGCATCAAACGCCTTTCTTCTCTACCGACCAATCAATCCCACGAATCCAGCCTTGTGATATCTACAGGTAGGGTGGTTGATCGACAATATACAGAACACAGGCACAGACCAACACACGTACACAGACACACACGCAAACACACAGACACAGACACAGACCCAGACACAGACACAGACGCAGACACAGACACAGACACAGACACAGACACAGACACAGACACAGACACAGACACAGACACAGACACAGACAGACACACACACAAGAAACATGTACGCACTGGCGAGTACTTACTAGAAGCTCACACACGTCATGGCCGGACTCATATGCGTACAGGTACAGCATGACTCACCATACAAGTACATTATGACTCACCGTAGACATAAGCATGACTCACCATACACACAAGCATGACTCACCATACACATGAGCATGTCTCACCATACACACAAGCCTGACTCACCATACACACAAGCATGGCTCACCATACACATAGGTATGACTCACCATACACACAAGCATGCTCACCATACACATGAGCATGTCTCACCATACACACAAGCATGACTCACCATATACACAAGCATGACCTACCATACACATAAGCATGACTCAGCATACACGAACAGCATGACTCACCATACACATAAGCATGACTCACCATACACATAAGCATGACTCACCATACACATAAGCATGATTCACCATACACATAAGTATGACTCACCATACACGAACAGCATGACTCACCATACACGAACAGCATGACTCACCATACACGAACAGCATGACTCACCATACACATAAGCATGACTCACCAGACACACGAGCATGTCTCACCATACACACAAGCATGACTCACCATACACACAAGCATGACTCACCATACACACAAGCATGACTCACCATACACATGAGCATGACTCACCATACACACAAGCATGACTCACCA